AATAAACATTTGCATATTATTTTTAAATACAAAGATTAATGTAAATCAAGATATTGTCATTATATTCTAAAACGCATTAACTATAACAATAGCTATAATAACACATTTTAAAGACGGTAGTCTTTTTAATAGTAAGGCTGAACAAATATTATATAATTTGTTTGATTATGTTTATTGAATTTAATGGATATATACCGATAGTGTAAAATAGTTTTACACGGTCATTTAATAGAAAATCATCAATATATAATAAAAAAATGATTTAATTAAATATATAATAATAATTAATTCACAATATAAAAATCCTAAATAAAAACTATGAAAATTAATTAAAAATGTATTTTTTTAAATTTATTTTTGGACATGATGCAAAAATAAAAATGAAAATAAAGTTAGAAAGAAAAAAAAAGAGAAAAAATGTCAAAAATTGAAAAGAGTGGGATTCAAACCCAAGATCCATGCTTGTTAAAAACAAAAACAAAAAATATTAAAAAGTGAAAAAGTGAAATTCAAACCTAAGACCTAGTGTTTACAAGCCTTATACACAATCTCTTACAAATCATGCCATTTTATTTATTCTAAATAAAATGACATTAAAAAACATATGAAAGGTGAGATAAATTTAGAATTCAATAAATATAACATCACATATTATGTTTTTGTTTAACTGTGGTTGGGGTTCTGTTTCCTAATAGATATTATCTTACACGATGTTAGTATTTAGGTTGTTTGAATAATTGTTTATATATATATATATATATATATATATATATATATATATATATATATATATATATATATATATATATATATATATATATATATATATATATATATATATATATATATATATATATATATATATATATATATATATATATATATATATATATATATTTATTTAACTTGAAAGAAATCATTCCAATAAATGGTGAACAAATTTGGTCCACTAAAAATCCACGAGAGAGAATTCTCCCCCTTAAATTAGATTTGTTTGTAATTACTTCTAAATAATTTTTTTTTTTAAATTAGATTAGTTGTTAAAATGTTTGTGTTTCTGGTTAATCGAAAATAAATTATACATATAGTGATTTTGATAAAATTATGAATTTAGGAAATGATTTCTTCAATAAAACATACATCGATTTTGATGTAAGTAAAATTAGCAATGCTGGAATGCTTAGTGGTTACCAACTTGTTCATTCACCAATATCTCTATGGTTCGAATCCAAGGTAAAAGTAAAAAAATTTATGACCATATATCACGTTAGATGCACACGTATGACTATATACTATATCGGATATCGGTGTGTATAAATAAATACACGTCTAATGTCACACCTATGACTATATGCCACATCGGATGCTAACATGGATAAATAGACGCCGTTTGTGAAAATAAACTATAAGTTTCAAACTAAACATTTTATTATATATAAATGATTTAATTAGTTATGAAGTCCTTTAACATAATTTAAATTTCACTTTAGTCCCTTATTTAATAAAAGTTACATTTTGGTCCATTAAAAATATTCTGTTAGTCAAATTGGTCCTTTCCGTTAAATTTTATAAAAAACCGTTAAGTTATGCATACGTGGTATGACAACATGGCAAAAATCAAGATAGTGAGTTAGCAATTTTGTAAAGGGACTAAGTTAAAACTTTATAGATAGTTAAATGACCAAATTGAAACTTTTTTATATCAACGGAAACTTGAATATAATGGCATTAATCCAGAATTTTGTTACATTATTTATTCAAACCAAATGCATTAACCAAAAATAACATTAAACATGTTTCTAAGCAAGTTTCTTTCAAATTCAACTAATCAAGTTTCCTAAGCATCAAAAGATTGGACCAAGTGCAAGAATATCTTCAGTTAATTTGGTTTCCTCTATCAATTTGCTATCTTCACCAAGTCTGTAAATGGCTTTTGACTTCATCATTTGTGAGGCCATCAACGTTCATTAGCTCTCTGATTTTCTTCTGCATGACAACTGCAGAATATATGTCAACAAAATATTAAACATTTAAGGAATTTCTTTTCCCACCTAGTGGGATTCTTCTAGGCCTCTGGTGAAAAACCTAAAATACTCCCAAACTTCACAAGTGCACTTGCAAAAGAACACTAATAGGTGATTTCGTAAGTGCACTTGTGAAGTCACCCATAATTTGTTTAAAATAGGGTGACTTCGTAAGTGCACTTACGAATAACTCATAAATACTCAATTCGCAAGTGTACTTGCGAAGTCTGAGTATTTTTTTTAACAAAACGAACATAACATACCCCCAACCCCTTTTCTATCAAAATACCAAATATTCAAACTTTCTACTCCAAACCCTAACATTTCTACCACTCAAACTCACTAATTTTTGTTCATCTCTCCATTTTAACTTATTTCAAGTCATCTCAAATCATCTTTACGCTTTCAAATTTGTGTAAGTATTCTATAATTTTTTTTATTCACAATGCAAACTTGTAATAGATTATTAGGTTAGTTTGTAGAAATTACATTGTGTATGTTGGTGTTAGAATAGGTAAATGTAGCTATTTAGGTGACAAAAACTGAGTTTTGGGTGTTTAGGGCAAGAAGCTGTTAGGTTTTAAAAATGGATGTGCGCAGGGGGTTTCACAAGTGCACTTGCGAATTCACTCCGGACCAGTTTCACAAGTGCACTTGCGATTTCTTGCCTGAGTTGTTTTATTTTTAAAACCTAACAATTATAATTATTTATTTCAGGAACATGGCTGACAACCAGGATCAAAACAGGTGATTAAGACAAGACATGCCAAACCAAACTGCATCGGCTCGTCGAGAAAGACAAGAGAAGCAGGTTAATCGGCCTTGAGGACGGGGTCAGGTACAAAGGAAACAATTGGATGTAGCTTCTCCTTCTGCATCAAGGAGTTGTCTGCATCAGGCGTCTACATCTCACGCGCATGAGCAGGTACCTGATGAGCTGGAGGTGGCAGAATAATTTGTTGTGCCTGAGGGGGATGAGGTACCCGAGGATGTTCTGTTACCTGAGTAGGCGGAGCAGGGCTATCCGGGAGAGCCAATTGACTCCTCCCTCTTGATTTACTACCATGACCATACCACTCGCTATGTCTGGGAAGGACACGTATTTTTTTGGTTCCACTTTTTCATTTTATAATTTTTACTCAAAAATACGATTGTAACAATTATTACTTTTTTTGTTTCAGAAACGGTTGCTTATAAAGCATGTGAATCACTCTCGGAAAATTTTTGAGCTATTCATCCAAGGGCTCAGTGGTTTCATGATGTTGTGATTGGATCCGGTCTTTCCGAATTATGTTGTACAGGTTACGACACAATAAGCCACGACATGCGCGGGGGGGGGGGGGGGGGGGGCTTTTGTTGAGAGGTGGCACAAAGAGACCTCATCTTTCCACTTTCTCGTTGGAGAGTTAACCATCACACTTGATGATGTAGCTTGCTTGCTCCACCTACCTATCAGAGATAGGTTACTTAACCATCACAAGATATTACGAGCTGGGGCAGTTGAGTGTATAGTTGAGTATCTGGGAGCTGATCCGTTCAGGGCAGCTGAGGACTACAAAGCCACTAATGGGGCACATGTAAAGTTCTCCCACCTTAAGGATATATATGAAGAGCACCTCGTTGCAGCAGCAGCTGCGGCAAGAGCTGCACGAATAGCCGCCGAGGATGAGCAGGACGAGATTTTTGTTCAATTTCATCGAGACTGTGTTGTGCGGTGTTACTTGATGTTCTTGACCAGCACATCTGTATTTATGGACACAAGTGGGCACTATACCAATGTGACCTGCCTGCAGTATTTTATGGACCCGACTACAGTTCGTGAGTGGAACTGGGGGCCGTGTTTTGATATACCTCTACCAGAAGCTGAATGAAACTTCAAACTGAAGGTCGAGGGCGCTCACTGGCTCACGCACACTCCTCACGGTACCTTTTTTTTCTTTCAACTATTAACTTTAATTTGTTTTGATTAATTTGTACTTACATATTATGTTATTGTTTTTGCAGAGCTGGATAATATCTCATTTTCACCGCATTCATGGTTTTGAGCAAGATATAGATTATACTGACAACATGCCAAAGGCTGTCAAGTATGTTCTCCACAGAGGGAACCATCAAGTGGTGTCGTACCGGGTGTATCTTGATCGTACTAATCATGATGACATCAAATGGACGCCGTTTAATGATTACATGGATATTGTCCCATTCGATCCGATCTCATGATACTCTAGGTGACTAGTTTGTGGGTCGAATATTATGGTCAAGTATCTTCCAGAACAGTGTATCCACCAGTTTGACTATATGCAGATGATACCTAGATCTCTTGTTTAGACTGCTCCCAACACCATGGTATAGCAGAATCTCGATGACGTCTTTCAAGATTGGGAGAATCACGCGGTGCCACGAAAGAAAAATAACCAAAACCTTAGAGGTAATGGCTCCAGAGCACAATTAAGCAGAAAATAAACTAGTAGTAACAAACAAATAAGAGACAAGAAGATAATACCAAGAATTTACATGCCGTAGAAATTTCCATCGACCCCTTTTAATATCCACTGTTGAGAACAGCTACTTGATCATGGTTTCCTTCATACCAGGTGCATTCAGTTGTGTTACTGTACAACTATTACCACATAAAACAACATCCAGAGCTAACATTTGTGGCATTTAAAGAATTTTACAAGTTGGCTGTGGGTATGGATTTGACCAATCTCATTGCACATATGATAGCTTCTTTAAATTAAAAAAATATAATATGAATAATAAAATAAAAAAATATTGGAAGGAGGATAAAGAAAAGCAATATTGCTAGTCAAGTCACGTTACTAGAAGTCCAACCAAACATTCCATTCCATTCCATTGCATTGTATATTAAAGAACAGAAAACAAGAAGCTTGGAATCTTCGATTCTTCTTCCAATCCAACACCCCTTATTTTCCTTCCATTCCATTCCACACCATCATTTCCTTCCTTCGTCAAATGAAACTCTTCTTCCTCCTCTTCATCCTCAACCAACTCTCCTCCCTCACCGCCATTTCTCCAACCTCACGTTCCCTTCTCTCCCTTCCACCGTCTGTTTCCTCAACTTTTTCTATTCTTTCTCTTTCAGTTTCTTTCCATGCAAGACTAATCTTCTTTTTTCTGTTTGTCAAATCTTTTTGTTAACAGTAAGGCAGAAACTGCGCTGATTGCTACGCTAGATGGGACGTTGTATTTGATGGACAGTCAGGACAATGCTCCCATGACGGTGATATGGTCGTTCTCGACTGGTTCGCCCATATACAGTTCGTATCAAGATTCTGGAAATAAGGAATGTGGTCAAGAAAGTAATGTATCTAAAGTGCCGGTTACCGGCTTTGTGGAGTGTGGGGATGATTGGTCTTTGTATATGCATGACAAGCACTTTGGTAAAATGGTATTTCTCTTGTTGTATTTGTAGATATGTTTTTTACAAGTTCTTACCAATGTCGCCGTGTCAGTGTCGGGATCGTGTTTAGGGTGTCCGTGCTTCATAGCCTCGTGTTAGTTCTCTGGCATGTTGGTTTTGAGTGATACCGGAGTTGCCACCAAGTCCAACAATTGACGTGATACGACCCTATTCTTTCTTAACAAACAGATAATTTCTTTCTTAACCAAACCAACTGCAATTTATGCTAAAACTTCTCATGATTGATTAAACAACATAGCGGGTTCCTTTTCTTAGTAGAAAAAAGTATAGTATTTTTTTCACTGCCAATTTGTTCCAAGGTTATGTTTATATAAGTGTCATTTATTGTTTTTTTTTGTTGCTGAGGAATTCTGAGCTAGATGTTTCTGTTGATTGTTTATCATGTCTGCAGAGAATCTCAGAGTCTATTGCAGAATTTGTACTTCGTACACCTACAATTTCAGATGATGGAGCTGTTATACTTGGATCCAAAGAAATCAGTTTATTTGAAGTAGATGCTAAAACTGGATCAGTCATTCAAATCCACTCGAAGTCTGATCCTGATAATGTTTTTGCACCTTTGAGTGATGCTAGGAAGAGCGTTAGAAATATCTTGAGTGCAGATCATAAGGATCTAGCTGATCCTAAGAAGCTAAATTCATCACAGACGCTGCTCAAGATTTTTAGGACAGATTATTCTCTGCGGTCTGTTAGCCCCAACTCGGGAAGAGTATTGTGGAATTTGACAGTAGCTGAATTCGAGGCTGTATTATTATGCCAACATACTACATTTGATGTAGAGGATGGATATTTTTCTGACAGTGGACTCAATTTTGCGATGCCTTACCCATGTCAAGAGATGCAAAATGTCTTCCGCGTGAAAAAGAAATTTCTGTTAGAATCTTTAATCACTGAAAGTTTACATGGGGCTTTTCCTGAAAGTGATATACTCTCAGTGGCCGCCTCAGATCTGATGATTCCATTGCAACCTAGTATTGATAGACTCCCTCAGCCTCTCAATGAGATTACTTCACCAGATGATGTTTATTTGGACAAGAAGAGTGGATGGTCAACTCCATTACCTAGTATGTTGTTTACGGTTTTTCTTTTGGTGTCGGGCTTTTCACTCATTGTCTTTCTTCTGGTGAAGGTGATTAAGAATCAAGATATACCGAAGGACCAAAACAGAGAATCTGAATTGAAAAGTTCACCTGCCAAGAGAAAGAAAACACACAAGTCAGGAAAGAACCGCGGCACTAACGATAAAAAGGAGAAACATCTTACTTCAGAAGATGAAGATGCACTGACACGAATAGATGCTAATGGAGAAGCATGGAAGAACTTAAATCAAGCTGATGAAGGTGTTGAGGGACGGAGAATTGGTAAATTATTCGTTTCAAATGAAGAGATTGCTAAGGGAAGCAATGGTACCATTGTCCTCGATGGAAGATATGATGGCCGGCCGGTTGCAGTCAAGCGTCTTGTCAAAACTCATCACAGTGTAGCCTATAAAGAAATCCAAAACCTCATTGTGTCTGACCGCCATCCTAACATTGTCCGATGGCATGGGGTGGAGTATGATCAAGATTTTATTTATCTTGCACTGGAACGCTGTACTTGCAACTTAGACGATTTGATTCAAATTTATTCTGATATTTCAGAAGATTCCATTTCTAGGAAGGACCAAGCACTCAAATTGATAAAAGGAAAAACGGAGACACGGAAGCATGATACACAATATCTTTGGAAAGAAAATGGCTGCCCATCACCTCTATTACTGAAATTGATGAGGTTGATATAATTTCTTCTTGGTTTATGATTTATTAATAGACACATTCAACCAAAAGATAATACTAATAGACATATTACAAGATTGCAATTTTCTCATTTCTCCCTCATTCAACACTGAAAAAATGAAGTTAGCGAAGGCTATTGGACCAGGTGGAATTCTGGAAATTCCTAGTCGAAGTAGGCGTTTTATTAGTTGGCAGAACTCTACCTATAGCAGTCTACTAGATTTTGCTGACTAGTTTATTTTAACTCTCACTTGGATGCCCACATTCTAAGTGTAGTTTATTTTACAGATTTTTATTATAAATTGTAACTAACTTCCGTTTTGTTTTGCAACTTAGGGATATTGTTTCCGGGGTTGTTCATTTGCATGAGCTAGGAATAATACATCGAGATTTGAAACCCCAAAATGTTCTAATAAACAAGGAAAAATCTCTCTGTGCGAAGCTCTCTGACATGGGAATTAGCAAACGTCTTCGTGAAAATATGTCCTCTTTGGGTCATAATGCTACTGGTAAGAACTCCTCAGAAGAAGGAATGAATATAGAAAACATTAAACCAAAGAGGCTCTTAGGAGTTGCTTCCTAATTTTTGTGTTACTTTCAAATTTGTTTCCATATTGATCCAACCTCATGTTATTCAATCAGTCTACTGTTTTAGTACTAAGGCTTAATGGCTTAATTGCAGGTGGGGGCAGTTCAGGTTGGCAAGCCCCAGAACAGCTTGTTCAAGGACGTCAAACACGAGCTGTAGATATATTCAGTTTAGGCTGTGTTCTTTTTTTCTGTATGACTGGGGGAAGACATCCATTTGGACAAAATCTTGAACGTGATATCAATATTGTGAAAAATCGAAAGAATCTGTTCTTAGTTCAGTTCTTTCCGGAAGCTGAGGATCTTATTAGCTGTTTATTAAACCCTGACCCTAATCTAAGGTAAATCGTTATCATTCATTGTGTTTTTGGAGGATGGAAATATATTTTCTCATACCTACAGCATTGCATCTGCTATGACTTGCTTAGTTCTAATGTTGTATAAAATGATCAAGGCTCAAAGTTCACACCGACATACTTATTATGGATAATAAATTAAAATGTAAGAATGTTACCCTATTATGATAATCTTGAGAGATCAATCTTTTGTAGTTTTATTTGTGTTTTTATTGATCAGTTGATCTCATGAAGTCTTATTTTAAGACAAAACTAAAGATTTATAGGAATGTGTTAAATTGAATTTATGCTATTTTGTTATAATTTCATGAATAAACTAAGTGTAGCTAAGCTGGGGATGTTGCAGTGAATGTATTGTATGATTAAACGAGGTGGGATTAGAAATGATAAAGTTAGAGAAAGAGAGAGTTGCGGTTGCTATATCACTTTCAGAAGATCAGAAACCCGTGATAGCTCCTATTATAAATGCTTCAGTTCTGTAAAATTAAGATTAGAGGGACTGTGTGATAGCTCCTATTATATGAGGGGCTGGATGTATATTCTTGTAAAAGATCAACTCTCCGTGAATGGTGTTATGCAACAACAACCAAGTCTTATCCCACTAAATGAATAGTGTTATATCTATATCTTTATTATTTATGATTTTGGTTTCAAACTAGCGATTTTATTAAAAAAATTATTTCTTCTATTGCCAGGCCGAAAGCGATTGAAGTGTTGCACCATCCTTTTTTTTGGAGTTCCGAGACGAGACTTTCATTTTTACGTGACACCAGTGATAGGGTGGAACTAGAAGATAGAGAGATTAGTTCTAATCTTTTGTGGGCGTTAGAAAGCACTGCCACAACAGCCTTAGGTGGTAAATGGGATGAAAAGATGGAACCAGCTTTCATAGCTAACATTGGTCGTTACCGGCGCTATAAGTTTAACAGTGTTCGAGACTTGTTGCGAGTTATGAGAAACAAGCTAAATCATTATGGAGAATTGCCACAAGAAATCCAGGTTCTTACTTGAACTAGTAGCATTTAATATATTTTCTTTCTTTGTTGTTTTTGTTGGGAACTTGGCAAAGCCATGAGTAGGGTGGGTTTTGACATATGAAGTTCACCTCTAGGAGTAGGCGTGTCGCAATGTCTGACACGAGTTGGTGTCAGACACTTGTATGACATCCGTAAGACACGTTTTGGAAAAGTATTCCGTAAGACACGTTTTGGAAAAGTATGTGTACCTAAAACTATAATTATTCTTGTTACAGATGCATTTCATATGAAAAAGGAATACTAATAACTCATACATAAGTTGTAGTACATCTTTACTCTAGGACATGAAAGCTATTCATCCATATTCATGGCTTCTAATTTCTTACTGGCTTTTCAGGAACTAGTTGGACCTGTTCCTGAAGGATACAATGACTACTTTGCGAACCGATTCCCAAGACTCTTGATTGAAGTGTATAATGTCATATGCAAGCATTGCAAAGAGGAAGAGTGTTTTCAAAGGTATTTTACAAATGATGATTAGTGCCTTGTTCTGCTCCGTATGGCCGAAAAATAGTTCATATAGGAAAGACTGGTTGCCGCATGAAGCAGATTATGTAGATATTTAATAAAAAACAATGATTTATGTGTCTGTGTATTTATATTGCCACTGATCAATCTGAGCTGCACCTTTTTAGTTTTCACTTTTTTCATCAATTTACTATAAATCTGAAGAACTACATGTCTGACTTGGTATCATGCTATTATGAACTGTTGATAATCAAATGTAATCTCTAAATGTTTTACTATTTAAACTGAATTATATATACTACAGAAACCACAAGTAAGAATAAAAATTGCAAATGGATCTTGATCTACACTCCTACAATACACTACTGTCAGACACAAGTTGATATATATCCTACAACTATATTTACTGAAAAAGTAAAAGAAATGCAGTAGGAACCCAGCCGTTACTATAGTTATTGTAGATTTGACTGCAGTGGATCCAAAGTCATTAGTGTACAAGAAATGGCAACAGTTGGTCATACTTCAGAATCAATTCTGTTTGAGGATGGTTGAGAAAAATCTTTATTGGAGACTATGGTTGATCCAACCTCACTTGTGCTTCTATATGATATCCTTTCCATTTGCCTTCTCTTGGAGCGGTTCTTAACTATCTCTTCTTTTTCATCTACAAATGAAAGAAAAGTCCGCAGACGTGAAGATCCAGAACCTTGGCCAGTAGACTCAACTTCATCTGGACTGTGCTTCTTGTACTGCCTCAAGGTTTGAATAAGATATATCAAGAGAGCAAGAAAACATGCCAAACCACAGACCAAGTAAAGTCCCCAAAAGCTTTTGAGATTGAGTCTGTCCACTCCAAGCTTCGCACCTTGTGATCGACACGCACTACTCAAAAGCCATTTGTCATGGATCCTTTGTAAATCTCCATTTTCTGCCAACTCCAAAATGGCAGTTGATAGGTCAACTGCTAATGGCGAGTCTGGTGGAAAGGCCTGCAGAAAAATGGATTACGAGAAATAGAGAAAAACTACTATATCAGTTGAGAACTTTGAACAACGGCACCAAAAAAAACTGCGAGAAAGCCAAGCGCACTAAAAAGACAATTAGTGGTATGTGTATGGAGATACTTACAAATCCCCAACCATTTTTGGTAAACTCTTGACCTACAATGGTAAAATCACACCGGCTTGAAAGGAAGAGCTCTATGTAAGCACGCTCGTTAATGTACGCAGCAACACCACCCTTTTGGGGACCTTTCTCCAGCGCTTTTGCAGTTTCTTCTGGTGTTTTTAAAGGAACTAGTCTGGATTCATGAATACCGATTTCGTCAATCAAATAGGATCGGGCAAAAGAGCCCTGCAAGTAACCAATAGGCTCTTTCATATTTACTAAACTTTCAATGCCTTTAATAGGTGAAGAAAGTTGCTGCACTGTGAGGATCGAAGTCAAGCTTGCCGTGTAACTCGAGTTAATTATTAGAACCACAAATAGCCATATAAGCAGCACAAATCGACCAAGAGTGCTCACTGTGTTTTCCCCTACGTTGTAAGAAAAAGAGAAAATTCATTTACTTGAAGTCGACAAAAGGCACCACAGAAGACATAAATGACACTTACTGTGAGCGAAGAACATAGTTGAAAAAGTAAACCTGCAGAATAAAACACAAATATAAGTTACAAACATGGAGATATCAAACTGTAACATTGATATATCATTATTGCATGCATGAAAATCGTAGGTAGGGTTCGAAAAAGGTTCAATATGTTGAGCCAGAGAAAAGTGAGGAGATAGAGAAAGACCGGATTTGATTACCACAAAATTGTGGCTACTTGTTTTTTAGGAGGTCCCCTAAAATCATCATTCAGTCTATGTTCTAGAATCCAGACAACTGCACCAACTAGTAGGAAAAAGATAGCTGTTACAGTCCACATCATTGGTGTAAATGGTGTCAAAAATGCCCAAGCATTGGAATCCGTCTTCTTAACCGATGCTACGACCACTAGACCAGACTCGGTATACGGCTGAGTAAAATCCACCATCTTTGTTCTCTCTGTTGTAATTGTAATGTCTCCTACTGCAGCATCAAAAACCTATATGGCAGAGATAAAACGTGGTCTCAGAGATGTAGCATAAAACATCCAAACTTTCTTAAAAACGATTGGAATGGTACTCACACCGGCAGTGATCAGACGCACAAGCTCAGTGTTACTAGGATTGTTTTGACCATCACCGTACGGAACAAATTTATAGGGGACAGCATAGGGTAACAAGTTTACTGCAGAAAGAAAGACATCAATGCAGAATCCCTTGAACATGTCAGTGGATTGTACCTGAGAAACAAATTCGCGGTAACTAACCCTTTTCGGTACTCCAATTCTTAACAGCTTTCCATTGCTTGGAAAAACCCAACCGCGAGGTGTTTGGGTTGTTTCTCCCGGCCAAAACACAGTGAGTAGCTTTTGGTTTTCATAGGAACGGTTAGGTGGTTTTGAATAAAGTGTTTCTGGAGGAACAACTGATAATCCGGAGTAATTTGACCAATAACCGATCCTGCGAGTCCCTGACCCGATCACATTGATGATCTCATATGCTGGATTAGCAAGGTTTCCGTCAGGAGTATACCTGAATGGACCCATTACACCAGTCATGTTAACCGCATAAATACTTTTACACAGTAGGTTTCCTTCATTGAAGATTTTCACTGCATCTAGATGCAAGCTGTCTCCACGTAATTCAGATATCTTCGGATCATGCGAAAATGTAATTTGGTTCCCTTGTTTCAAGAATGTATCAAGGGCGCGAGCAAGCACATAAACAGTATCATATGCAAAGATACCGTAAGTGCTCAAACCAAGAGGACCGTTTCCCTCCTTTCCTCTAGTCAAATTCGTCCACCTAGAAACAAACGATCTTTTGAGCTTTGAATCTGGTATGTACATTCTAAGTGTAATAACTCCTTGAATGTTATCCATTTCATCGGAAGAGAGTGGACTATCTATGTCGATATAAGACGTGAGAAAAGTAGTAGCAATCCATACATAACCATTTTGCATCATTCCAAGAGACTTTGCAACACTTAACACTTTTGGACCCCAAGAAGTACTTGTGTGAAGAACTATAACCCGAGATTCTGCCAAAGCCACCTGAACAAGCACATCAGTAATCTCCTCCCTCTTTGCATCAGGAGTCATCGGTGCTTTAAACGATATCTTGCAACGTCTCTCAGCTAGCTTATCCGCTAACGCACCGATTCCGTTCCTCCCATGGTCATCATCACCGTATACTACGATAACCTCTCTCCAACCATAGTGGCTAACCATGTCTGCTATTGCAGTCATTTGAAAAATGTCATTGAAAGCAGTTCTAATGAAGAACGGGAATTGAAGCGAGGAAAGAGTAGGATCTGTAGCTGTAAACGATAGCAGAGGAACATGAAGCTCATTTGCTATATGAGATATGACATGAGCTGTTGTAGACGTCTGCGGACCGATAATGGCCACAGTGTGTGTCGCCATGAGCTGCAACGCTGTTTACAACGTATTCAATACAAAATCATAATCTGTAAGACTTGAAGGTAAGTTCTATATCTGAAAACAAAGTCACATATCAAACAAGAAAAAAGTACCTTCAGCAATGCTCAAAAAGCCTCGGTATTTTGAATCTTCTTGCAGCGAGAGCTTCAACTTAGTTTTACCAAGAATAGAAGAATCTGAATTTATATCGTTAACCGCAGTTTCTACCGCAATTTTCACCATTCTACCAACACTAGTATTGAAAGAGTAGAGAACCCCAATATTTAAAGACTCCGGTACTGTCGAATTATCCAAACCAACCGCAGCAGAAGAGATCAACAAATTGGGCAGAGCCATCAACAACAGCACAAGCCAAACTCTAATCATGGTCGCAACTTCCTATCGAAACTCTAGTAACAATCACCCTGCTCAAAGAAACAAATAAAGCAACACCTTTCATATAACAAAAACACAGATGCAAAGCACAAAGCATACTCAAAACCAAAGTGGGAAAGAAAGAATAAAGCGATCACGTGTCTCTCATTATTAAATCAAAAAGTATCAAAATTCAAGGAGCCATAACAGTTAACAGCATGTGAAACCATGACTTTACTAGATTAATGTACCTAAAGTTTGGTCAGCAAAATGATGCACAAAACTTGATGTTATGTTCAACTTGAGCATAAAAAAAAATCAACTTTACATGTACCCAGATGAAAAAAAAAAGTATCAAGTTTAACCTGAAGCAGTGTTGGAAACCTGGACAGTAAGGTAGATCTTGAAAAGTGAAATATAAAAGCTGTATGGGAAATATGTATTGAATGATTGGTGGTACCCACTTGGAGATAGATAGTGCGTTTCATTTTCAGATAAGATCAATAGCATCAATGTTTTTAGAACAGTGAGGGAATGGTCCCTTTCACATGAAGACAATATAGGAGAATGCCACTGGAAACAAAACCATAAGCAAGCATCTGTTGTTGTTGTTGTCGTCGTCTGTGATATGAACTTGTACTATGCTATGTTCTTTGGTTGCTTTGCTATTTACTTTACCCACTTGTGTGTGAAAAGGACAATAGAAGTTGGTGTTAATTGCTGAAAATAAAATATTTTGGTGGCAAACAGATTTTATTATTATAGTAGTATTGACAATCAAAAGAAATCTAAGGTTCATGTATGGTTGGATCTTCTGAAAATCTTAATTATGGTTTCATTTCAACCACTCTTTGTTTTTATATTAATGTTGCGTTAAATCAGCTCAGTTAATAGATATAATTAATGTTATCTTAAATCAGCTCAGTTAATAGATATACAGGAACATTGTATCTACCATTTTTATATAACTATCAATTAAGTTAAATTAAAATAACAAAAAAATAAAAAATTAATAGTAATCAATCCTTTACTCGTGCTTGTCTCGCTCTAAGATACACTAATAATAGTGACGAAAGGAACAATAACTTTTTATGTCGATTTCAAACATGTGACGGAGAAAATGATTATATGTTGATTAAATATGTAAAATTAGTTAATTAAAAATGCATTAGAAATAAAATAATGCTTATTATAATATAAAATCATGAGTGACTAAAATATTTTCATACAGAAGAATCCAAGGTTTATTATGTAAAGTTGGATTTTCTAATCTATGACATCAAATTTTTACACTAGTAGGTGTTCACGAATACGGTTAACAATAACATTTATAATTTTGACTTCTTTTTTTTTATCTCTTTTAAAAAAACTATGGTTAATAATATGTAACAATTTGGTTAATATAATATATAATTTAGTTAATGTGTCTTGACATTAAAAATTGAGAAAGTAAAATTGATTAATTGAGTGTAATAAATTGATTAATATAAATTTGAGTACTCAGAAATTAAATTAATTATATTTAATGATAGGTATAAAATTGATTATTACATAAATTAAAGAGTTTTTAATATAAAAAACGTCTTAAATAATAAAATAAAGTTGATTAATAGAATGTAAAGATTAGTTGAAATACTTAATTATTTAATATCTAAATATAATTAATATTATATTTTTTATTGATTAATAAAGTAAAGAAAGTGGTTAATAAATTATAAAGAAAGTAAGTGGTCAACAATCTACATTTTTGTGGTTAATGTAATGAAGAAATTGGTTAATGATACAACTTTATGTTTGAGTTACAAAATAAAATAATTAAAAAAATATTTTCTTAAATTTTTTTTTAATTTTAAATATATTTAAGAAAAAATATTATGCACCATAGAAATACGTTAAACAAGATTTGGTGTAAGTATTGATATCATTTTTAGATGTCAACATGATATTGTTGTTAGCTATAACTGATAGAATATATATTTATATTTAATATTTGTTTATAAGTCTTACATCGACTATAACATGTAATGAATGGTAAATTTCTCTATATATAATACAGTCTCCGTAGTGTTATTCTCACATGGTTGATCTCAATATCTTACATTGTATCAATAAGGGTAAAGATCAAAACATAATTAAAGTTGTCGCATCGCAGTAGCTCCTCCCCTAGCGTCGCTACCTCTCCTCAAAAGTTGCCGTTATTGTTGCAATAGCTCTTCATCTGCAACACTGGCGCATTAGGTCCTCCTCTTCCTACACCGCTGTCATTTCTCCTCAAAAGTTGTTGTCGCTGCCGCAATAACTCTTCCTCTTGCACCACAACCTTAGTAGCTCATTCTACTACACTGCCACCGCCGGCCCTCCTTCCGCAATCATCATTTCCATCTCTTCCCCGACTGCGTCGCAACCATTATTTCCTTCCATCAATCACACGACCCATACACATCATTTTTGTCTCCTCCAACTGTAACACCCTTCTAATCCCACATGTATTATTCTTTTAACTTACGAAATAAATCAATTTAAAGTCACCACACAAGGGTGTCATACTTCATAATAAAACATCACAAATATATTCTTGCTCCGTAACACGTGTTACATCAATAATAATGACATCTCTTTATAAAATTAACTCATCACTTTAAAAAAACATTGCAGCGGAATCATCGTCATGACAACATAATTGACTTATCAAAATTGATGACATTTAGTCTCATCAATCATTAAAATTAATTGAACCATTAAACATTCATAAACTAAGTCAACATCACAAAGAATATAACATTCAAATAATGTAGCGTTTCCAACCCGATGTTACATATCAGAATAAGACATCTTTAATTAACAAAAATAAACAACGCACATCAAAACTAGCCTCTAAGCTTCAACGAACTACTCTTGATCACTTGCGCGTTACTCACGTGAAGGAAACATTCAAACAGAAAGGGTGAGTAATCACAATTTATTATAAAAGACATAAGGAAAAGATTAGTAGTTACAACAACATCATCACATAACAACAAATATTACTCATCAATACTTCATATTCACAAATACATTATAAAATCACATATACATCATTCACCATCAAACCATCAGGTAATCACGTAACTCACAATTATCGTCACATGACAACTCATCAACAAAACTCATGCAATGTCACATAGAATGTTAATGCAAAACAACTAACTCAAATTCATGTGGTACCAAATCATTTTATGAACACTTGGTCATCACCCTCCAAAGATCCCCATCATAGGATCGATTCTCTCTTGGAACTAGAGCACATCATAAATGCACACAATCTACATAATGAGATTGAGGCTCGTCATAAGCGGAACACCTTCCAAAATAGCGGACCACCATCCAAAAATTCTATAAATACATGATGCACAACAATGTCATATGAAATTTTGACCACAAATAGTCAAGTGCATCATCATTCACATAATCATCACATAAATCATCACATAATCATCATAGAATCATCACATAATCATTAAAGTAGAACATCATATCATAACAACATATAATAAATCAATCTCATTAATACATAGATATTGAAATCATGCATCAAAAAACTCATATAATTAATTCATAGTATAGTTCAACTCATCAGCTTCTCCATGCTTCGAACGACGTGTCAAACAGATTCCTGAAACTCAAGTTACAATATTCCAAATTGTTGCTGCCAGACTGCTTGTATCATGCTCGCTCGGCGCCCCTGGGAGCGCTCTGCTCGCTACCTCATTGCCCCGTGATGCTGGAGCAATGCTCTATCCCCCATATATTTTCAAGTAGCTCTGTTTTTCCACCATTCTGCTTACCAACACTCTCATCTGGTGAAACTCAGGCGCTTTGCTCGCCCTCCGCTCGCCTGACGGTGGTTGCGAACCTGCAACTTCCTATTGCAATTTCGCTACTGTTCCAGCCATTCCAAGTTCGATTACATATATCATATTTGATCTTATCGGTTGATCAGAACTTGCTAGCGGGCTGAAGAATGATCGTTGACGGGATGGGAAGTTGAGGAGAAAATGGGGTTGTACCTGCAAGGCACTCCGACGATCAAGTAAGTGTAGGAGCAAATAGATACAAGCAAAATATTAGGGTTTAAGGTATGAATAATGAATACATGGCCCTCACATGTGTGAGGATTTATATAATGCCTCCGATGCTTGGCCATTGGTCCCTATTTTTGGACCTAGATACACGGGTCCGCAAAAATAGGTAACTTCCAGGACTGGGTCAAAATGGACAGTGTTGTAACCCAAAATTTTCCCTCTCATTTCATCAAGATTTCCCCTCACAAGACTCTTTGAACTCTAGACAGGATTAGGGTTTTGCTCTGCTCAAGACATCTCCTTGCACTGATGACCTAAATTAGGGTTTGAGTTTGCATAGGGATTTTTGGACTTTCAATGCTCAATGTAACTTTCATACTTCATGTTAGACTTATAAGATTACTACTACCAAGTTTCAAGCCTTGAATCAAATTTTTGCCCAGTCAATTGGACAGTTGACCTAGAAATCAGCTGTATTGGGGAAAAAGTCAACTGTGGCCAATTTACAGTCAAACCTCACAATTTTTGACCCACATCAACATTATAGACTCATATGAACCATTTGATCAAGTTTGGACCACAACTCCTCAAGAAATTTGATCAGATCATCAAAAGGGCAAAATGGTCATTTTTAGGGTTTTTGACTATATAAGGGCAATTTCTGATTTTTCACCTAGCCAATGGAAAATTGGGTTCAAGAATGGACTCAAGGACTCAATGGCATCATCTTTACCTATTCACAAGGTTCAAAAGATCTCAATTGCATTGGATTGACAGATGAATTTTTCAGTCAACTGATCAAAATTTGACTGTACACTGAAAAGTCAAACTTTGACTTTTTGGTCAAAATCAAGTGCCAAGGGTCATTTTTCATCAAGATGTGTCAAAACATTAAATTTGTTCATCAAGAAACCCAATGTTGCAAATTAGGGTTTAAGATTGAAAAATTTC